CCTGCCCAGGCTGGGGACCATGTAGCCCGGGCTCCTGGACTATGGACAGACCCCAACCATGTGTACCCTGCCATTCCCTGTCCCCACAGTCCTAGAGGTCACAGTTCTGAACACGGAGGGCCAAGTGCAGGAGCTGGTGTTCCCCCAGGAGTACCCGAGCGAGAACTCGATCCAGCTGTCCGCCAACACCATCAAGCAGAACAGCCGCAACGGTCAGTGCGTGGGTCCTGTGCAGGCATCTCTGCTCCTCTTATAGAGAATGGCAGTTCTTAATTTTTATCAGGTTGAAGAATCTGAGAAGAGATCGGGACCCATAACAACACACAGACCTATGGGTCTCAACACACAGAGCCATAGCTCCACTCAAGTTAGTGTAACATACCAAGGGGTTCATGGGGACCCCACCCCCCGCCAAAGCCCCACAGAACCTAAGCCACTTAGGAGTATTTGGGGCTCACTCCTGGGCAGTAGCAGATGATCCTCATAGCTCAGGGAGGATTGTTCCATTTGAGACTAAGGCTCTGAAAGGTTAGGGAATTGCCCAAGGTCACACGGCAAGTGAGAGGTGGGCCAGGGACCCAGCCGTGTGTGTCCTGGTCCACTGCCCTGCCATTGGAAATGCCTACAACTGAACAGTGTTCCCGTGGAAAGGCTACCAAAGCCCCGCTTGCCTGGGCTACAGCCTGGCTTTGGAAGTCCCGAAGTATGGCTAGTATGGCTGGAGCTGCACCAGTCAGGGGCTGATGGCACCCTGCCGTGCCTGTCCTCCCCCAGGAGTGGTCAAAGTTGTCTTCATCCTCTACAACAACCTGGGCCTCTTCCTGTCCACCGAGAACGCCACGGTGAAGCTGGCGGGCGAAGCAGGCACTGGGGGCCCGGGCGGCGCCTCCCTGGTGGTGAACTCGCAGGTCATCGCAGCATCCATCAACAAGGAGTCCAGCCGCGTCTTCCTCATGGACCCTGTCGTCTTCACCGTGGCCCACCTAGAGGTGAGCTGAAGTGCCCCTCCCTCTGTGAGGGTCCCAGCATCCTCCATTTTCCCAGGCTCTGTACCCCACCCCCACTGTGTGTTCACCCACCCCAAGAGCAAGTTACAACTCCTCCCTGGGGCACCAGCCTCCCAGCCCTCATCCAGCAGTTTGGGCCATTTATCCCCAGAGATCTTAGACTGTCGCCTGGAGCCCGAAGCCCCAGGCACTTCTCTTGTGATTGCCCCTGTCCCCGTAGCTGGGTGTGGGGGCTGGAGTGGGACTCCCTGGATCTGACCCCCCGGCCACCACCACACAACAGGCCAAGAACCACTTCAATGCTAACTGCTCCTTCTGGAACTACTCGGAGCGTTCCATGCTGGGCTACTGGTCAACCCAGGGCTGCCGCCTGGTGGAGTCCAACAAGACCCATACCACGTGTGCCTGCAGCCACCTCACCAACTTTGCCGTGCTCATGGCTCACCGCGAGATCGTAAGCTGGCCAGCACTCCGCTCCTCCGGGCGGGCCCGCTTGCTGGCCCGGCTTTGCATGGCATAGAGAGCGCTGCATGGGCGGTGCCAGGGAAGGCCAGCTTCGCGGGCATGGGGGGCCCGAGTCTTGCCAGGGGCGTGAGGCCATATGTCTGGTTCTCTCTGGTCATGGTCCCACCTTCTCCCAAGGCACCCTGGAGAAGCAAGTTGGTGTCACCTTTGTCATCTCTCCACGAGCCTTCCAGAGCATGAGGAAGTGAGCGTGCCGCCTGCAGAGGGGTGGGGGCTGGCAAGCTAGCCAAGGGGGCAGAAGGCCAGGTGGGCTGCACTGGTGGTGCTTGTGGCCCCCAGCCTTGCCCACAGCTGACACCTAGGCTGAGCCCTGGCTGTGTGCCAGGTCGGAGGCGCTAAGCACACTCCCTGCTCCTTCCCCAGTACCAGGGCCGCATCAATGAGCTGCTGCTGTCGGTCATCACCTGGGTGGGCATCGTCATCTCCCTGGTCTGCCTGGCAATCTGCATCTCCACCTTCTGCTTCCTGCGGGGACTGCAGACTGACCGGAACACCATCCACAAGAACCTGTGCATCAACCTCTTCCTGGCTGAGCTGCTCTTCCTGGTTGGGATAGACAAGACTCAGTATGAGGTGAGCAGGACTCTGGGGCAGGAGCAGTTGGGGGAGAGGTGACCCCAGCCAGGCCGGGGGCAGCCCCTCACCTGTGGTGCTCCCCACCCCCCTAGATTGCCTGCCCCATCTTCGCTGGCTTGCTGCACTACTTCTTCCTGGCTGCCTTCTCCTGGCTGTGCCTGGAGGGCGTGCACCTCTATCTGCTGCTGGTGGAGGTGTTTGAAAGCGAGTACTCCCGCACCAAGTACTACTACCTGGGCGGGTACTGCTTCCCAGCCCTGGTGGTGGGCATCGCAGCCGCCATCGACTACCGCAGCTACGGCACCGAGAAGGCGTGAGTGCCCCTCACCCCCAAGTCTCTCCTCGTCCTTGGCTCCCTGCTCAGCAGCACTCCTTGGGCCAGGACCTTGGGGCACTGGGCTCCTGGAGTCAGAGAGGGGGAAAGCCCACCCTTTTACCTCTTGCTACCCTGGCCCTGCTTTCTTTACAGCTGCTGGCTCCGAGTGGACAATTATTTCATTTGGAGCTTCATTGGGCCCGTGTCCTTTGTTATCGTGGTAAGTTGGAAGGAAGTATCCCCAGTACTGAATCCCTGTCCTTCACCCAGGCTAGCTTTGACCCCAAGCCCCCCATTCTCCCCAAGCCCTTGAAAACCACCAGAACTGAGCAGCCAACTAAGAAAACAAGCAGAGTGGGTCTGTAGAGTGCCATCCATCCAGGAGCTGTAACATGAGCCCCTGCTCTGTGTCAGGCCATGGGCCCTGGCCCCCCAGCCCCAGGAGCCACATTAAGAGATACCGGTCAGCAGGCACCTGGGGACAGGTACACCAGCAGAGGGGGCCCTGAAGAAGGGGGGTTGAGGCTGAGACTTGGCCAGGAGCTGACGCCAAGAGGCAGAGCGACCCCGGCCCAGCTCCTCCCCTTGTCCCATCCCCAGGTGAACCTGGTGTTTCTCATGGTGACTCTGCATAAGATGATCCGGAGCTCATCTGTGCTCAAGCCCGACTCCAGTCGCCTCGACAACATTAAGTGAGCACCCCCCCACACACCCATGCCCCAAGCCCCAAGCCCCCCAAGCTGGGCCAGGCCTCTTCCAGGGTTTCCTAAAAGCTAGTGTTCTCACCTCTGGTGTCACATACTGTGACTTTAAGGACAAAATTGTTGTTTCATTGTGCTGTTTACGTAGCTATTTAAAAAGTATTAGAAAACGTGGCATTAACACATCCAACAATAGTCTTAGGCACATAACTGCTTAGGGTGAGGCTGAGTCCCTTTCAGGGCAACTTAAAGAGAAATAGGGAGCAAAAGATAGTTTAAAGGCCTGGAAACATGGCCAAAAGGATGAAGGATGCAGGGGAATGACTGGCCATTCATGGAACCCTGGCCCCTGACCTCTGCCTGCCCCTCGGGATCAGCCTGGGTCAAAGTGTTGCTGGGCAGGCCCACGCACCCTGAGCGGGTCTTTGCAGGCAGTATCCAGGCCCACCCAAAGCGGGACATGTAGCAAGGCTCTGCAGGAGGGGTCTCTGCTAGTGGGGACTTTGACATTTGACATCCCTGTCCCCTCTCCACTCATCCCCAGATCCTGGGCCCTGGGGGCCATCGCGCTGCTCTTCCTGCTGGGCCTCACCTGGGCTTTCGGCCTCCTCTTCATCAACAAGGAGTCGGTGGTCATGGCCTATCTCTTCACCACCTTCAACGCCTTCCAGGGGGTCTTCATCTTCGTGTTTCACTGCGCCTTACAGAAGAAGGTGAGGTCCGGGGAAGGGGCCCAGGTGCCTCCCTTCTGTGGTGGGACATGTGTCTGCTGGGAGGGAAGCACGGGCTCAAGGTCAGGGAGGTTTTAGCCAGGGGTGAAGAGGGTTCTGGAAAAGAGCACGATATAGTGGCCTGGAGGAACGAGACCGCAGGACAGATTTGGGGAGTTGGGAGTGCACAGGGCACGGCCATGATGATAGACCCTCCCCACAGCATGGGGCACAGATCAAGCATGTGGAGGGAGATGACTGGGTGCTGTCACCCAGACAGAACATTTCCTGCTGTAATGGGGACAAACTGAGTTTTGTGGTGATAGGAGGTTTCCTTTGTATGTTAGTCTGAAACTTAAAAAAAAAAAAAATAAGGAGATAACAGAAGCAGAGGAATGTGGTGAGGGTATACAGGCAGAAGGCTCAAGACTAAAGCCAGGGTGACTGAGCCAAGGCATTTGTAGACTCATCCTGAAGGCAGTGGGGAGCTCCAGTCAGACCGTTGTTGGTCTGGGGGGAACAGTGAGGTAGGTAAGACTAAGGAGGGGATGAAGGAGTCCCCTGCTGCAAGGTTGATTATATCCCTGCTCTGCTCAGAACTGTCCCATGGTCCTCATCACACAGGGACAATGACATTCTTACATAGCCCTCATGAGGCACACAGTCAAAGCCAGCATCTTTGCATGGCCCCCACCTCACACAGTGCCAGTAGCATCCTTATAGGAGCCCCAAGCCCACACGCTCCAACCTGGGCTCCCCTTTTCTTCCCTTCCCTTCCCTCCAGCCATGCCCTCTTCTGCTCCCTTAGACACCTAGACATAGACCCTCCTCAGGGCTTGTACCCTGCCCCTTCCCAGATATCTGCAGGGTTCACTGCCTTTTTTCTTGTAAGTCTTTGCAGAAACGTCTCAGTGAGGCCTCCCCTGATCTATTTGAAATCACACCCCCCAACCCCTACCCCAGCCTAACCCCCAGCCACGGTTGTCTTGGCAGCACTTCACACCATCAAACACCCAACATCAAGTTCTGATGTTTGCACATATGTTATATCTCTGTCTACTAGAAAATACGAGCTCTGAGAAGTAGGGCTTTGTGTCTGATCTGTGTCTATCCTCGGGGCCTAAACCATGCCGGGTATACAGAGGATGCTTAGTAAAGATCTGCTGAGTGAATAAATGGATGAGAAATTGTTGGTGAAGGTGGAGAAAGGAGGATGGGCCTGAGTGGGAAGAGAGAGCCTGCATGGCTGGCTGTTAGGGGACAGGAGATAGTGAGGTTTCTGATGCCCACCGGGAGCTTGGTCTCTGGACTCCCAAGGCCGGGGTACCCACTGCCAACTGCCTGTCCTCCTCGCCCCTCAGGTGCATAAGGAGTACAGCAAGTGCCTGCGTCACTCCTACTGCTGCATCCGCTCCCCGCCCGGGGGCACTCATGGCTCGCTCAAGACCTCAGCCATGCGGAGCAACACCCGCTACTACACGGGAACCCAGGTATCCAGGCTGGGGCTGGGGCACCAGGCAGGGCTCCCTGGGGCTGAGTGTTGGACCCGAGAGCCCGAGAGGTAGGGCAGTTCTCCACCCAGGTCCCCGGTAGTGCGCATCAGGCAAGTGGTCTCAGAAGGATCCTGGTGGGTAGGCGGCCCAAGAGCCCCCTCACATCTGGGCTGTGTCCCCAGAGCCGAATCCGGAGGATGTGGAATGACACCGTGAGGAAACAGACGGAATCCTCCTTCATGGCGGGCGACATCAACAGCACCCCTACCCTGAACCGAGGTGAGATGGCATCCCCCGCCCCGGCTCCAGTCCCTCAAGATTCCCAGGCCTGTGTCTCCTGGCTGCCTTGTGACCTCTGATCTCTTGGGCAGGTACCATGGGGAACCATCTGCTGACCAACCCTGTTCTGCAGCCCCGTGGGGGCACTAGCCCCTACAACACCCTCATTGCTGAGTCAGTGGGCTTCAATCCCTCCTCGCCCCCCGTCTTCAACTCCCCAGGTAAGAGCATGTTGGTGCCAGGAGAGGGTGATGGCCCAGGTCAGGGAGTGTGGGGTCTCCACCTGGGGCAACCTCATGCTTCCTGACCTGGAACCTGGACTTGGCATTCTGAGCTCACTCTCACCTTCTCTTTTCCCTCCTCACTGGCACCTGCAGGGAGCTACCGGGAACCCAGTAAGTGTGACTGTTTCCTAGTAACATTTCCAAGGTCGGGAGGGGAATGCAACGCAACAGTGACCTCCTCAGATGGCTTCACTTAGAGAGAACTCAGATGCCCCCCACCAAGCACACATACAGTCTCTGGATGGTATTGCATTAGGTGGGGATTGAAGGTGATGGGGGTCAGACCATGGGAAATGGACCTGGTCACTCAGATCTCCTCATATTACTGAGCTTCTGAGCCCCCAGCTAGGAGGGGACCCTAGGGAAACTGGTTACCACACCCACCTCCATTAACAACTGTTGAGCTAGTGTCCCCACTGCCAGGGAAGGGAGCAAATACAAGTCCCCAGGGGCAGGGGTCAGCCCAGGGAAAACCAGATGAAAGCAGGCAACCCCCTCCACATGGCCTGCGCCCCTCTCACTGCCTGGCTCTCCTTCTGAGCAGCTCCCTTCTGCCTGCAGAGCACCCCTTGGGAGGCCGGGAAGCCTGCGGCATGGACACGCTGCCCCTCAACGGCAACTTCAACAACAGTTACTCCTTGCGAAGTGGGGATTTCCCTCCAGGGGATGGGGGCCCCGAGCCACCTCGAGGCCGGAACCTGGCCGACGCTGCTGCCTTCGAGAAGATGATCATCTCGGAGCTGGTGCACAACAACCTGCGGGGCGGCAGCAGCGGAGCCAAGGGCCCTCCGCCACCTGAGCCCCCTGTGCCACCTGTGCCGGGGGGCAGCGGCGAGGAAGAGGCAGGTGGGCCCGGGGGTGCTGACCGGGCAGAGATCGAACTTCTCTACAAGGCCCTGGAGGAGCCACTGCTGCTGCCCCGGGCCCAGTCGGTGCTGTACCAGAGCGATCTGGACGAGTCGGAGAGCTGCACGGCGGAGGATGGGGCCACCAGCCGGCCCCTCTCCTCCCCTCCGGGCCGGGACTCCCTCTATGCCAGCGGGGCCAACCTGCGGGACTCGCCCTCCTACCCGGACAGCAGCCCTGAGGGGCCCAGTGAGGCCCTGCCCCCACCCCCACCCGCACCCCCTGGTCCCCCCGAAATCTACTACACCTCGCACCCGCCGGCCCTGGTGGCCCGGAACCCCCTGCAGGGCTATTACCAGGTGCGGCGGCCCAGCCATGAGGGCTACCTGGCGGCCCCAGGCCTTGAGGGGCCAGGGCCTGATGGGGATGGGCAGATGCAACTGGTTACCAGTCTCTAAGGGACCTCATGGACCAGGGGCTGGTGGCCCAGGCCAGGGAGGGAACCCTGGGCGGGGCTCTGGTGGGAGAGGGAGACTGATGGAGGCAGTGGCCAATGGACCACTCTCTCCAGGCACCCCTTGGCCGTGGGCCCTCCAAGCCCCTCAGGGGCTCTGCTGTGGGGGTCTAAGGTGCAGGGTTCACAGACAGGGTTTCCCACCAGCCATGTGCACCAGCTCAATTTGGGGGAAGTGCAGTGAGGAGCCAAGAGGTCCCCAGGGGAGTGAGGAAGGAAAATTTGGAAGGGTGCAGCCCACTCTTGACCTCCCCCTCCCCCCTACCCTTCCTACTCCCTGGAGGGAAATGAGGGCTCCAGTTTCCCTGGGCCAAAGGCCCTGCTGGATGGAACCTGTCAGCTGCTCCTCTCTTTGCAGCCAGAAGTGCTGCCAGCTGCACCGGGAGGGAGCAGTGGAGGCAGGACAGATGGACAGGTTCCTCTGCACTGCAGTTCCCTGCTCTGAGGAGCCTGGGGCCTCTAGCCGGGGAGAGACCCCTAGGTGGGAGAAAGCCCCAAGGCAAGAGGAATGGGCAGTTGTGGCTGGTGGTTTAAAGGTAGATCTTTCTCTGAAGCTCCTTCTTTCTGCTCTTTGTCCCTGCCTTCCCAGCAAGCCTGCCCCCCTCAGCCCTCCTTGAGTGCACCCAATGACCCCCTCCCTTGGGGCGACTCCTGATGAAGCACAACTCCCCGCAGGACCCCCAGCCCACAGGGGTGGCCATATTTGAGCAGTTCCCAGTCCTGTGGGCTCGGCTATCTGGGGAGCAGATTTTGGGTCTGGATCTCCCTGGGGAGTGGGTCCTGGGCTTGGATCTTTCCCTAGGGGGCCCTCTTACCCCTTCCTCTCTCCTCCTCTTCCCCCATTGCTGTAAATATTTCAATGAAATGGAAAAGAAAAAAAAAAGAAAAAAAGAAAAAAAAAAAGAAACTCTCATCACTTGAAGCCACCGGGAGCCTGCGGCCCGGCCAGCCCGGGATTTCTCCGGAGCAGAGCTGCGCCGCCGGGCCCTGGCAGCCAGGACTTCTCCATGTATGTGTGCATCCCAGCCGGGGTGGGCGGGCCGCCAGAGCAGCTTTTTACAATCCAGAGACAGAAAACAAAATCTAGAAGCAACGTCGAAACAAAAAACCCGTTTCCTTCCCGGCACCTGTTTCTGTCGCCTCCTTCCCCGCTCCGCCTCTCCCTGGCATCATTCAGCCCTCCTGGGGCGTGTACCTCACTGCCTGCCCCAGGACTCGGGGCCTGTCTCCCCCACCCCTCCCCACTGGCCCGGGGGAGGCACCCTCACACCCAAAGATGCTTTTGCCAAGATGGCTGTGCTGTCCCTTTGAGTTCCTGCTTCTTGTATATTGCTTCTGGGACTCTGGCCTGGGAAGTGGCTGATTTCCTGCCTAGAGAGGTTGACGGGGGAAGGAAAAAGAGGGCAGCAGGGTTTGATAGTGGTGGGTATGACTGAGAAGGGAGGGCTGGGAGTGGTGAGGTTGTCTTCTTTCAGGGGTTGGGGAGGCCAAAGGTGAGAAATCACCTTCCCTACCCTACATACTCCCACAGGGGAGGGCAAAACCAGGTACCAGGCCTGGCTAGGGTCAGGACACCCACCTTCTGAGGGCTCAACCCCAAACCTGCAGATACCAGAAGTTCCAGGCTTGGGATGTCCCCTGAG